AAGAAAGAAAGAAAGAAAGAAAGAAAGAAAGAAAGAAAGAAAGAAAGGAAGGTGTGTTGCCACAAGGGCTGATCTAGACATCTCAATCAGGCTTGGACCTGCTTGTCCTTAGATGGGGGAACCCTGTGGGAATGCCAGGCCTGTCGCCTAGCCTAGGGAATCACACAACATCAACAACAGCATCAACAACCCATCCCAGAAGGTGGAAATGCCAAACCATTTCTGTATTATTGCCCAGGAAAGTACACTGATGACCTTGTCAGTGTAAATCACCTGGAGATCAGTTTAGCCCCAAAACAATAGTATTTATTTATTTTTTCCTGGACAGTCAACCTCTTGGTTGATTGCGCCACATTAACTAGTGGGAAGGGTTCTTCGTTAATACTAAGGAGGTGGACAGCTCTAAAAATGTTGATCCCAGATTTGCTGGGTTGTACATCTTGCCTCAGGTCAGACCATGATGAACCTTGTTCAGAGAACCTTGTCCCACCAGTGAAGGGTGAAGGGCATAGAAAAGAGGGCTTAGATTTTGGCCTGGACTTTGTTTGTTTTTATACTGTTTATTTTTGTGAGCAGAAGGAAGAAGCCCCGTCACACTCTGTCACACTCTCTCGCACTGCTTGTGCCTGGGCCACGGGTGGGAATCCCTTGCATTTTTCCCGCTTTCTGCAAAGTGTGGAAACAGCTGACTTGGTGCTCTTTTCACCCTCGGCCTTTCTGAGAGACCTCAAGAGAAGGCCGGTGACTGGCGAGGAGAGGAGCTGGGGATCCCTGCTGGTGAAGCTTCTGTCAGCTCTCCGAGAAACTACAGCTGCAAAATGAACCAATTAAGGTCCATTTACAAAAGGCCAACAGGTAGGCTGACTTCTGCCCTCCTCCGAGCAGCAGGTGCCTGTTCCGCCTCGCTGACGGGCGACAGGTTCAACCCAGCCCCAGATGCTGAGGGTAGGGAGCTCCCCAACAATGGCGCACTTAGGGCCGGACCCGCAAGCCAGGCTCTTGTGAAAGGGAGATGGCTCTTGCCTGCCCCCCCCTAAAAAAGCTTCTGGCAAAGGGAGCAATGCTGCTGCAGAGGAAAGCTCTGGAAAGCTGTAAACTCACTGCCTTCGTTGCTAAACTGCTAGAGCCCAGGATGTTCCAGGGAGGGAGGGAGGGAGGGAGGGAGGAAGGAAAGAAGGAAGGAAGGAAGGAGAGAGAGAGAGAAAAAGGGAGGGAGGGAAGGAAGGAAGGAAGGAAGGAAGGAAGGAAGGAAGGAAGGAAGG